AATAAAAAGTTGTTCAAGTTTCAGTTTAAGGGTGTGGTGAGAGGTGCTAAAAGAATAGTTGGAAATGTTGAGTTCTTATAAATCTAAAGAAAAGAATTGCTTGCAATGTAGCTTGGAACTTGTGTTTTCCTATTCTTTCGTTTCAATAACCCTATCCCTAAACCTCATTACATCCAATAAAAGTCCTCTTGATTTAAGTTTTGCAATTATGACTGTGGAGAAGTGATCTTTATGCAAGCTTATGGTAGAAATTTCACATTTGATTTTTTGAGCGAAACACATTAAAACTAAACACATGTGTGATTGAGTGTATATCCCGTGAGAAGGTTGCTAGTTTGCATATGATGATTTTTAAAAAATATAAAAAAATTTTGAAATTGCATTAGCATGGCTATCTCACACACTACACTTCAAGGATGATTCAAAGATTACTGCTAATATTTGAATAAGGAAGATGAACTTGGATTAGTTCCTTGATGCTAGCTATGGTTCTTGTTGATTTGTGTTCTCGAATGAAATTCTATGAGGGTCACATAGGGGGAAGCTAATGTTTTTCTTGTTACTTCTTGTTCTTGTTTTCTTTGTTTTGCTCGAGGACTAGCAAAAGTTAAGTGTGGGGGTATTTGATCGGATCATATTTATATATATTTTTACTTCGAATTCACTCGTCTTTTCTTAGTTAGTTCCTTATATTTTTGAGCTATTTACGTTATTTTTGTGTTTATAGGATTTGTTATGCAAAGAAAATAAAAATAGAACAAGTGAAATTTTATGTAATAAATTCGTCAAAACTGCCTGTGTAGATCAGCTGACTTTGGGAGCAAGTTGCGAACAGGTCAGAATGAATTAGAGAATGAGCCTTATATGCTTGGAAAGCTACAGATGTCTATTTTCTAGAACACTTCGCGGATTGTTAATATTAGTTTTCTAGAAGAAGTTATGGGCATTTGAGTAAGGGAAGGTCTAGCTGACGACAACTTGCAGATTGGAATTGAAAAACAGACAAAGATGACAAAGAAGAGCATAAAGCATAAAATCATGATGAATAATCATGATGAATGATTAAGGCTGCCCTTTGGTTTTGTCTGAAAGGCAACAAATACAGCAAAGCACAGGTTGGCAATAGAAGAAAAGTCAAATAAAGAAATAAATAAAAATAGCAAGTAGATGAGGGCTCCAGCGAAAGAGTGAGGACAGAAGGCAGATAGATGGATAGATAGAACAGAAGCGAAAGAGTGAGGACAGAAGGCGGAGAGATGGATAGATAGAACAGAAGCGAAAGAGTGAGGACGGAAGGCAGAGAGATGGATAGATAGAACAGACGGGAAAGAGTGAGGGCAGAGAGCAGAGAAGTGAAAGCAGGGAAGTGTGCGGAGAGAGAAGCGCAGAGTGACGGCGGAGAGCAGAGAAGTGAAAGCAGCGAAGCAGCGCTTGCGGGGAGAAAAACAGAATGAGCAAGCTGCCTTATCTCTCGGTTAAATCTTTCCAAACTTATATTTTATTTCTGTTTTAATAATGTGTAACTAAATTTATTTTGGCTAGAGGTTAATTCAAAGCCATGGATATATTTGTAATATGAATTGATTACCTTCAGTTGTGATTTCTGAGTTGTGATTTAATTTGCTTAACTGCTTGATTGATAGCTTATTTTTGTATGTCGATTAAGAATGCATACTTAATTTACATGCATGAATTTGACGCTAGAATATAAGGGAGTTTCACCTAATCATTATGAACTTATATTCACAAGTAGTGAAGGTTGCTAGTCACAATCACGTTAAGTAAATTCTTGGCATAAGTTTCATGTAAATCATAGTAACGAGTGCCTCGTCAATGCTTATGTTTTTCATAGAACTTAATGATTCTTGCTTGTATCTCTATTATGCAATTCATGTAGGGAACTTGTAGGGAATGTTTTGGGTTGTCGTATGCAATCATCCAACCCAATAACTTGTGGAAAAACTGAAGGTTAATTAGTGCAATTCACGGTTAATTTGGGGCGTTGAGATTTACAATTTATTGAAAGAACAACTGAAAATCAATTTAGGTTGCATATGTGTCATGTGTGGAGAAGACCCTCTAGCTAGTCCGTCACCTATCCTTTCACCTTAATTTCATGCTTTTGTCAATTCTGTAATTTATTTAAGTTTAATTTACTTCTCGTCAAAACCAAACCCCCCATTATTAAATTATATTATTTAGTTAGTTTTCATTGTTGTTAGTCTTTTAATTCAATTTCCGTCCATTTCAGTTCCTAGTGTCTAATTTGATTGTTTTCATTATTTTGAGTCATTCTAAGTGTGTTTCGAGTTATTAGAGTTTTTAGCCTAGTTTTGTGTCCTTGAGTCTTGTTTAATATTTTTAAATTAATTTATAATAGATTAGCAATCCCTCCTAATCCCCGGCCTAGAACGATACCCTACTTACATCTATACTACAATTGTCAAAAAGAGGGTTAAATTTTGTGTGCTTATATTATTCGCATCAGTATTTCCTTGGGCTTTCCCCCCTTGGTGCCCTTAGTGAGGCTAAGGTGATCAAAGGCTCGTGCCTTGGGTGCTTTTGTTCCCTTGGCAGAGTTGATGCAGAGGTGAAAGAGGCGGCAGAAGTAGCTCTTGCCATGCTTCGAGTCGTGATGCCCAAAGTGACACCAGTTGCGACGATGACGCTTTTGTTCTTTGCGCCGGTTGCGGGAACAGTTTGAGCCTTCCTTGATGCCATTAATTTTGGAAGTGCGCTTGAATTTCTTGAACAGAGAAAGAGATGAGAGGCAGAGACAGTCCCACTGGGCGTGCCAATTTGTGAACACGGAAAATTCCTGAAACGAAAGAGACAAGAACGACGCGCACAAACAAATATTTGTATTTGATGATTTTGGGTTACAATCTCTCTCTATTTTGATCCTCTGATTCAATCTCCGTAAGGTGTGTATTTGTGGATGTGTGATTGATCCAAAGAGCCGTTGGACTTGATCTAAGGATGAACGTTCTTCAAGGGCCGTGGACTTGATCTTGAAGGTGGATTTGAGCGAATCTTCAAAGGGGCTTTTGGGCTTGATCTTTGAAGAACAGTGATGAACGGATTTCCAAGGGGCTTTTGGGCTTGATCTTTGAAGAACAGTGATGAACGGATCTCCAAGGGCCTTTTGGGCTTGATCTTGAAGAACAATGATGAACGGATCTTCAAGGGCTTTTGGGCTTGATCTTGAAGAACGGTTGGATGTGTGGATTTGTCGACGTTGTTGATCCAAAGGGCCGTTGGGGCTTGATCTTGGATGAACGGATGATGAACGATGGTGCTTTCTTCAAGGGTCGTCGGGGCTTGATCTTGAATTGGTGGATGGTTGATCCAAGGGCCGTCGGGGCTTGATCTTGGAAGAACGATGAACGAAGAACGAAGAACACTTTCTTCAAGGGTCGTCGGGGCTTGATCTTGAATTGGTGGATGATTGTTGATCCAAAGGGCCGTTGGGGCTTGATCTTAGGATGAACGATGAACGAAGAACGCTTTCTTGATTCTTCGGGAACCTGGATGCTTGAGAGCTTCGGAGTTTCAGAGCTTCAGAGCTTCAAGAGTTTTGCCTAATGATTTTGGTTCCCCTCCCCAAATGAATGAAATGGGCTTGTATTTATAGATTTTTCCAAGGCCTAATCTTGAATATAATATCCCAGATGAAATAAGTTGTTTCTGCCAGGTGTTGACACGTGTCCTATTTGATGACTTTTCCAACTCATTTCAATTTTCGTTTAGTCACACGCTACGTGTAAAATTTATGTAATACATGAGCGTTGACACTTTGATTTATCGGTCAACATTTATTTACCGAAATTTCGATGTCTACAAAAGTTTTTAGTAAAAATATTTTTGAATTAATTCTTAGTAAAATTCAGGTGGATCATAGAAAAACACTCTAAGCGCTTCTTATAAGAAACACAAATCTAATGCTTCTTTCAAAAAGCACTTATGTTTTTGGAACATGAAATCAATTTAACAAAAAAATACTTTCAACTATTTTAAAAACACTTCCGAATACCCTTATTTTTCAAGTTGTGTTTTTGATACATGGAAGTGCATTGGTTTTCCATTATAGAAAGAGAGAGGGATAGAAAGGAAAAGGATCCTCTCCATATCCTCTTTGTGGGGATTCGGGGATCAATTGATCATTTCCGTTCATCATGCGATCAATTTTTGTTAGGTACTATTTATATTCAATTTTAAATTTTAAATAATTACTGACCACATAATGTACGATAAACGGACATGATTTATTGATCCTTCGAATTCCCACAAAGAGAATTCAAAGAGGATCTTTTCCGGGTAGAAATAGAGTTTTCCCTAAATAATAAAATTGGAGCCTCTCCCTCACTCTCTCTCCAAAAAAAGTCAAAACAAAAAAAAACAAATAAAGATTTCATTATAGCAGTTCCAGCGTGGCCCATTGTCCCTAGGACAATCCACTATGCTATCCATCCATTAAATAGTAACTGCCCTTAATAAATAGTAATGGCTTTTTGCATCTCCACCCTTGTACTCAATAGCCTTGACAATTGGCAATAAAATATTAATATTTTATTTATTTATAAAATAATATAAAATAATTTTATTTGTAATTTCGGATAAGATTTTTAATCGTTCTTATTGCTCCACATGTCATTAATCGAAAAGAATATAGCAATAAAATATTAGTATTTTTTTTATTTATAAAATAATTTTATTCGTAATTTCGGATAAGATTTTTAATCGTTCTCGTTGCACCACGTGTCATTATCCGAAAAGACAATTATTGGTGATGGATTTCCAATAAGATTTTTAACCAATCATGTCGCGCCACGTGTTACAATCTGTTTACAATCTTTGAGGATAGATTTCCACCATATTTTTAACGAATGACAGCATGCCACGTGGCATTATCTACAACCTAATCCTTTATGAATCCTCCATATAATCCATCATCCATCCTCATAAATCTCACACCAATTTTCTCAAGATCTCTATCATTATTCATAGTTTTTGCTTCCTTATTCACCTAAATCTCTATTATTATTTATAGTTTTTGCTTCCTTCTTACAATATCTTCTTCTTCCTCAAGGATGATGTGGGAAATCGATCAGCAAGAGGAAGAATTGTTTAACCAATCAGAAGGAATGTTCAAACGCCATGCGGCCCAAAATCAAAGGGAAGAGGATGAGAAGCGTAGACGGAGAGACGACGAATCAAGAATGGCAAGAGCCTCACATTCCCCGTCGAGTCATCCAAGTTGTGGCTCAGATCTGCAGGCCCAACTGTGTTGTAAACATTGATAGAGACATGCAACGACGAGGTGAGTATCTCTTGGACGATTATTTTGTCCGTAAAAGTGCATTCCTTGATACGTACTTTAGACGCCGTTTTAGAATGGAACGTCATTTGTTCACATGGGCGCTGTTTGCAACCATGAGTATGAAATTGAATTCAAACTTGACAATATATGTTGAATTTATAGAAAAGTAAATATATAAAACTATGAAATTGAATTCAAACTTGAGGTTGAATTTATAGAAAAGTAAATATATAAAACTATGAAATTGGATTCCAACTTGACAATATATGAAATTGGATTGAAACTTTGAGAAGATATGAAATTGTGGTGTACGGTATAAGATAATGAAAAGGTATTTATAGAAAAGTAAAATCAATTTTTTTTTGGATTTTTAATAATTTTTTACATTTTTAAAATTTTTTTATTCACCTAATTAACGTATACTGTTTGGATTTAAACCGATTTGAATTCCAACACTCTAGATTGTGCCACGTGGCATAACGGTAACATTTCTGATTTTTTAACTTTTTTTTTAAATTTTAAAGTCTAATAACGTGGACCGTTGATCTCAAATCTAACTGCTGATATTAAATGAAGTTTTTTTATTTTTTTTACCGTTGGAAATCCAACGGTTCACAATTTATATTCATTGAAATCCAACGGCCGTGGGGAAGCCACGTGGCTCCCCAACGGTAAAAAAAAAATCTGCGCCGCAGGCCGGTTTTCTGATTTTGTGTCTCCTAACGCGCGCTTGAATGGCACGTGCTTGACAGAAAAAAAATTAATAAAGACGTCTGACGTAAGCTGACGTCAGACCCATCTCGGGCTCAAGGGCCGGCACCAATGTACGGGCCTGGCGCTCGGGCTTGCTCCAGCTCCCTCGCCAGCCAAAGCTGGCCTTGCTCCCTCGGGCGATCCGGCCTTGTTCCACCCACTGTCCCTCCAGCAATTCATCCCGCTGGAGTTGCTCTTTTAGTGTGTTGGCTATAACGTGACCGTTTGGGGTTCTTGTTACAACAAACCGAATCAAAGAGAACGTTGTGTGAAAGTTGGGGTCGTCATGGATTCGTCGATGGCTGCCGGTAAAGGTATCATCATTCACGATTTTCACCGTTTTCTTTTTGTGTTTTGATATCATGGATTCGTTGGTAATGTTAGAAGCTGGTGTTCGTTCTATGAATCTGTCGTCTGTCTGAGTCTAATGATAAAATTTAGGGCTTTTAATTTTCAAGGAACCATAAAACTTGTAGCCTTTTGTTTTCTATTGACAGGAACCCTAATTTTCTCTTTGAATATTAGGGGTAGTGTTTGAAAATTGTGGGTTTCTTTTCCAATCTTCAGGAACCCTAAAAACTTTGGGTTCTCTTCGTCAGTTCAGAGAAATCCCAAGTTTTTATTTATTTATTTATAGAAAACCCTGAAAATTGGGTTTTTCATTTTCAATTGGCAAACACCCCTAATTAGTAACCCTAACAAATTGATAAAGAAAACCCTTAATTTTTTTACCGTGAGAGCAAAGTTCTGTAATACAACCACAATTTCTGAGGGTAACCGTGACACTGAAAAAGAAAACTTGGGGTCTGTGTTAGTTGAAAAAGGAATGCATGTTATAAACATTTATAAGTTCCGGTTTGAAATTTTCCGGATTCAGAAGTTTCGGTTTAGGCTTGAAATTTGCTGTTACCTGAGTCAACTTTAATTACATGCCTGATTTCACGATTTCAATGCGTGATTTGTTAGCTGTAGTAACAAAGTCCATCTCTTTGGATTAAACATGAATGTCCTGCTATTCAGTTTTGCGTATGGTATGGCAGAAAATAGTTGAAAAGTAATAAAATGTGGTACATTTGGAGCACACATTGTATCTCTAACTTGTTATATATTTGGTGACCAGTTTTTTGACTCATCCGATCCATCTCTTTTTATTTTGCTTTTTCGATCTTCAATTTGATGGGTCAGAAATATAGACAGTAACAAAATTCCTTCTTTAAATGGATATTTCGGACAGTTTGTTCTTTCTTAAAGGAAAGTGGACCCTCAGTTTTGATCTTATGGATGTGAGGCTGAACGAGGTTAATGTGACTTAAAATTTTTAGTTGTTCAATACGTTGAACTTTCTTTGTTTTTCTTGCTACCCTAAATGGTTGTATGCTTTGGTGCTCGTTTATGATAAATTTGCCGTTTTGTTCTTGTTCTTTAATTGTATGTTTTGGATTCTGGATTTGACTTCCATGGTGACTTAGTACACTGTTCTTTTGCATATTTATAAGTTTGGTAAGAAGTATGAGACTGGTAATATGAGAAATAAGAGAGAAATTGAGAAACATTAAAATACAGTGCAGGCTTCTTGTTGGAATTTTTTAGTCAGGAATAGCCCAAAAACAGGTTTGTTCCCCGATATTAAACCCTTAAGAACGTGTTCATCTTTTATGATTTGTGCTGAAGAATTCTTTCCCCATTTGATTGATTTTTGACCCTCTGTTGTTTTTCAATTCTCAACAATCAATTCTTCAATTACCAAACCTTTATTGATTCCCTTTAAGTTTTTGGCGTTCTGTTTCTCTGTGAAATAGTTCAACATTAATGTTTTCTTGTCATACTTGTGTTTGATGTCGCTAGTTAATTAATTTTTGGGTGGGTTTGTTTGTTTTATTTTTGTTGTGGCCCGTGTGTGTTTTTTTTTTTTTTTTTTGGGGGGGGGGGGGAGCGATACTATAGTTTGGTAATGGCCATGTGCCTTTTTGGGTTGTTCTAAGATTCAGTGATGATTTTTGGATGTTTGATTTTTCAACCAGAATTACTGAGCTTTGGCTCTTTTGGGGTTGGGGCTGTTTTAAAAAAATAGTAATAGTAAACAGAAAGTGGGACTTTTATGCTTCTAATTAGTGTTAATTTTTGTATCCAAATTTTTCCGCTTGATGGTCAAACTATGGAGGTTTTAAAATAACAACCTTTTATTTGGCCAAGTCTAAATATTTCTGTTTTTTTTCTTCATGCTAAAACATAAACGGTGTGTGTAGTCATTTCTCTTCTTTTTGAGAAGATGGTTTTCTGTAATTCAAAAGGTTATTATAACTTTTATAGATGAAGGGTTGACCGTGATTATGCTTTATCGTGGGAAGAGAGTTTTGTGCCATGATTGTATTTAAAGCTGTTTTTTAATCTCTGATTAAGATAAGTTTTTATGTTTTGTCATTTGAAATTTGCAGAGAACAGCGGTAGTAGGAGTTTTGAAAATCCTCAAGGTTTGTTGATTTTTTTTCTTCTCTTTTCTGGTTAACAGTTTATGCAATTTTGGTATTTTGTCCTTGTCGAAGGCCTATGTGGTTTCTTATGGTTGATTTTACAATTTCATTGGTGGAAAGGTTGACGGTAATTATGGTTTATTTTGGAAATTGGTTATGAGGGTTGTTATTGGCACTCCAAAATGGTCATCCTGCATTCCTCTTTCAGTAAAGATTTGTCATTTTTTCTACACGAGGAGTGCAAGATGAATTTTTGTGGAGAGCCAATAACAACACCCTTGGCTAATACTTTAGGTCTTGATTGCTTTCTAATATCTGTTTTCTTTTTATGTTTTTGGACTAGAATATTTTAGAAACTAATCAAGTATAAGAGAGCAATAGAAATATGTTAGCTGTAAGAATATCACTTAATTAATTATATTCATATATTCACTCCCTAGACATTGGGAGGTGGCTAATGCAGGTGTTGAAGGAGAATGCTACTGCAAGGAGTGCCATTCCAGACTTGGAAGAGAAAAAGTTCGTTGCAATACCCTTGTGTTATAATTTTCTTCATTTGTATCGCTACAATGGGACAAGATTTTCAATGTTTTATTATGTTTGTTATATATGTCCAGAAATTCGTCACATGGAAAGAGGAAAACAGTATGCAAGCCCTTACAAAGCCCATTTATTTTTTGGACCCATGGAATGATAGGAATTTGGTAAGGGTTTCACTGAATCAATAAGTTTGTGTTTTACACACTCAGTGTACACTGTAATCTAATTTGTGTCTCCTTGCATGTGATTATGTAGAAGGCTCCAGGAATAGTGAATCCTGCCATGAACATTAGGTTTGAATTGTATTTCAACAATGCAATTTTCATTTATGCCTTTGATATATGTTCAGGGATCCAATGAAAAGATTCAAGCACCTTGCTAGCTTAGATGCTGTGAAATTAAGGGAGATGCGTCCAGATTATATACCGGTAACAATCCAAAGCATCAAACATTTTACTAGCAATCCATTTGGTGAATGCACTCTATTCTAATTTGAGTTTCCTTGCAGGTGATTTTGAAGAAGGATGCAAGGAGTGACGTTCCTGACGTTGACATGAGGAGGTTAGTTGATTTGCATTGCTGTAATAAATTAGGATTGTTCCCTTTTCATTTATGCTTTTGATTACTATCTGAAATCTGTCAGGAAATAGGAAAGAAAAAGAAATGAGATATATGTGAAAAAGCCCAACACTTGTTTTGTTCTTGTTGTGTAGGCTGAGCTTGTTAATGTGTGTAAGTAATCTATCTGGACCCGAGGTTTTGGTCATGTGTATTGTTCATGGATTGTTAACATTTTCAAAATAATTGAGTCGGGTACTTTAGTGGAAGTTCGAGGGCTGGTTCTGGTTGTAATGGTTTGCCTGGATTGGTTACCCAAGTATGGAAGCCTTCCTACCCAGTAATTTTCATAAGCATATCAGTATATAAGAAAACCTACTTGTTACTACAAAGTACAGACACAAACTCTCAAGATCATTTGTACTTGTAGCTTGGTTTTATCTTTTTCATTTAATTCTTTTTAGATTGTCTTAAATGAGGTGGTCTCATGTGGTTTTATTTTATTTATTTATTTATTTATTTATTTTTCTGACCGCAGATGTCATGTCTATGGTGGTACCCCTCTTAGGGAATTTGTTCATTTTCTTCGGGGGCACATCCGCTCTAAAAAACCTATATTTGTCTTTTTCAAGAACACTAAGCCTCCCAACAGTGAGTTGCAACTCATTTTGGCTTCAAGCATAATTTTTTGCTCCTGGAGTTGTAATTGTAAATAGTTTGTCCAATGGTACAGGTGCCTTGATGTCTGCCATCCATGAGGAAAACAAGGATGAAGATGGCTTTCTTTATGTGACCTACAGTGGAGAAAAAAGTTACATAAATGGTGTGTTGCTAAATTTTCTTCTTTGAGATAAGATGGCCTCTATAGTTTAATTGTTAGTTAAAAGTTTCACAAATGTGGGGTTGATGTTTTTGACGCTTTATTTTGGAAGAAATTTTATTTCTATACTTGCGATTTAAGTTGTTAGTTAGTTTGTGCAGTTGTGATGTTTATTGTTTGAAATTTTGCAGAGGACAGCCGTGGTGGGAGTTTTGACTTGGGCAAAGTTCTTATAAGCAAGAAAATCATCTAGGTATTTTTTTTAACTTTCCGGGTAATTGTATTGCTTGTGCAATACCCATGTGCCTATTTTAGTATTTCGTCTTGGTAGATGGGTCTCACTAAGGAATAATTCCAAATTTTATAGATTCAGATAGCATAGCGATCGTATGGTGTATTTTGTAAATGATGATGCTCAGCCATGTTTATCTTCTCATCTGTCTTTTTCTGATGTTTTTGGTCTAAAATATTCAGAAAGCATGCAAGCAGAACAGAACAATCCAGATCCGATACCGGTAAGAGTTTCAGCGAATCAGATATGTTTTCTTCCTAGTCACTGGCACGTGCTCTAGTCTGATTTGTGCCGTTGTGCCTTTGTGCAGATGATTGTTGAGAAAGCTGCTGAAAAGAGTGACATTCCAGAGATTCAAGAGAAGTTTGTTGCCAATGACTTTGTGCCCCAATTGTCTTAATTTTTATTGCTACATTGGAACAAGATGCTTCAGTTTTCACTTACGCTTTTAATATATTTTCAGAAGTTTGCTAGAGAAAAGAAGGAAAAGAGCCTCTGTGGACATAACGAGAAACGCGTTTGTGCATTTAGACCCTTGGAATCAGAGACCATACAAGATGGTAGGAATATCTCCCTTCATTATATTTGCGTCATAATTATCATATTTACTTCCAAAGCTTTCAGTGGATACGTTGTTCTAATTTGGGCCTCCATGCATGTGATTGCGGGAGAAGGCTTTGTCTACCAGTCCTAGCATGAGCGAGAACATGAGGAAGTTAGTTGCAAATTCTCTCTTTTGCTTTAATTGTCTTGATTTGTATGCTATTATGGATATAGGATTGCTATTTATTTATTTAATCAAGTTCTAGAAAGATTGATTGTAATCTGTATAATTTGGCAAATTAACCCTGTATTCTGTGTTGTAGCGTATAACAACGGGATTCACCAAATAAGCCACATCTAACATCAAATCAGCTGCATCCTCGCAACGCGGATGTCAAATGTTCTCATGGGTTGTGCATCTCCATTTGGGGTATCCATGGAAACTGGTATGAATTTGGGGAGAAACAAGTCTCTAGCTTCAACAGAGACAATAATCCGGCCAGTTTGATCCAGGGAGGATTTTGAACATTCTGCAAGCCTTGGAGATCCACTCTTCGTTGTTCATTGCCAGCTTGGAGAACGTACGTGACACCATATCTTCCATCAAGGACATCAATGTCAGGAAGCGGGTGAAGGGACAACTCATTAAGCACAAGCTGGTGCAATACACCAGCATTAGGTTGTCCGAGTGTATCAACGCGAGACACAGGAACCTTCAAATCGTATGTGATCCTTTGGATTTGTACGTGTCCGCCACCATCATCGTCATTGTTGTCGTCTCCAACGTCACCTTCAACTTCATCGTCTGCTTTTGATCCGTCGTCATCATTGTCTATGACAACGCCTTCATCACCACCAAGGTTTGCATCAGCATCCTCTACCAAACCAGCATCCATATCCACTGCGGCAGCTGCACCACCAAGGTTTGCATCAACCCTTGGTGGTGCAGCTGCCGCAGTGGATATGGATGTTGGTTTGGTAGAGGATGCTGATGCAAACCTTGGTGGTGATGAAGGCGTTGTCATAGACAATGATGATGATGGATCGGAAGCAAACGATGAAGTTGAAGGTGACGTTGGAGATGACAACAATGACGATGATTGCGGTGGTCATGTAGAAATCTGAAAGATCACGTATAATTTGAACGTTGTTGTATCTCACGTTGATCCACTATGATAGCCTAATGCTGGTACATTGCACCAGCTTGTGCTTAATGAGTTGTCCCTCCACCCGCTTCCCGGCATTGATCTCCCAGATGGAGGATATGGTGTCACGTACGTTCTCCAAGCCAGCAATGAACAACAAAGAGTGGATCTCCAAGGCTTGCAGAATGTTCAAAATCCTCCCTGGATCAACCTAGCCGGATTTATAATCTCTGTTGAAGCTAGAGACTTGTTTCTCCCCAAATTCATACCAGTTTCCATGGCTAACCCAAATGGAGATATAGAGCCCATGGGAACATTTGACATCCATCGTTGCGAGGATGCAGGTGATTTGATGTTAAATGTGGCTCATTTGGTGAACCCCGTTGTTATAGACCAGAATACAGGGTTAATTTGTCAAATTATCCAGATTCTAAATCATGACGATATTGCTGGAGCATATTGGCCCCTTGTAGTCCAAGGGCTGTCGAGAGTTGTGACCATCTTGCCGATTAACGATGACCCTCCCTCCGGTGAGAGCGTAGTTGAGGACTAAGCAAAGATGTTAAGATTTTCAAGTTTGTAATGGATGATATAATAGGATACTGTTTGAATTTAATACTAGTAGCTTTTGTTTTTTGAGTTTAAATTTTGTAGTGTGCATCTTATTTGAGAAGTGCCAAAGTGAGACTCTTCACGAGAGACTTTTGAAACTTTCCAATACGATTACACAAGCCATTATCTTTGCTAAGTGCCATTACTTGAACCAAAATTCCGACGTCAAATAAGAACTTCAAATACCAAATTCCTACTGTCATGCAATGATTCTCATCTATAACTTTTTTCAATATAAGTGCAACAAACTGTGACTTTGTTACTACAATAAGCTAGTTACATTCCACTTCGCTTGGAAGTGAGAGGATTTAGTTTTGATTCTCGTCTTACAGGAATTTGAAAATAAAAGATGGAATTAAAGCTCTGCTTCTCTAAACACTAGAAATTAAGAGCCAAATTAAAATAGAAATAGAGAGTCAAAAGAGATGGGAAAGAAAGGGAGGGGTAGAAATAGAGTATTTCCTGAATAATAAAATTTGAAGTTTTCCCCTCCTCTCTCAAAAAAGGTACTAAAAATAAAAAATAATACTTTATTAGTGTGCTGGCTAAACGTCGTTGTTCGAGGTTCTGGTTGCAACTATTTTCACTTATGACTTTTTTTTTATTGGCACTTCATATAGTGTTAAACACCCTCAACATTAAAAATATATATTAAATGATTTATATATCTTCATATACAATGATAATTTTAACCTCATAAGGTTAAAAAATATATATATAAACACACCCTAAGTCACTTTTAATGTGTATATTTCAATATTATTTATCTTCTTCAACTCTAAAAACCATTCTCGCCCTCCTTTGTAAAATAAAACCCTAATCAATAAAACTACAAGCATATAGATTGAAAAAAAATATATATTCATAAGAGAACCTTCACGTTGATAATTGATATTCAACCAATTAATCCCAACTTTTGTCCCCCATTTGTATATTCCTCTTTGGCAAATTTTCATCTTTATGGAACTTGATTCCTTCAATCCAATCAATCTTCTCTATTGTTGAGAGACTTTTAGGTCAAGGTGGACTTGAGTTTTGAGAACGTCCTCTTGTCTCCCTTAGTTCGGTTTCGTATTAAGTCCCAAAATATCTTGAAAGAGTTAGCTTGTCTTAAGAAATATTCCAGTTAGATCAATGACTCAAAGATTAGCATGATTCAGGAAATAATGGCTTGCTCGAGTGAGACATGGTGTGGATGCTAGAAGTCCATCAATTTAGCATGAGAGAAAGTTTGCATGGTTGTATAGTGTGTTAGGTTGGATAATCTTGGTTTCCTATTGTAGTAACGAAGTTTATGATGGATAGAATACTCAGAGGAAAACCTATGGAAGAACACTAAGGTTGCAGGGGTGTTGCTTTATGGGCTTCGAGTCTTTGTGTTATCCCTTTTCTCTAAGGATTTTGACCTACATTTGTAGTTGAACGATTGCTTCCTAAGAAATCTCTAATTGTGGCTTGGTCTTTTCTCCCCTTTCTCCATAGTTTTTCTGCCACCCCTATTTTGGTGCAAGATGGCTAGGTGCTGCCACCTTATGAAACTTGCATCATGCCTTCTTCCCAAGGTGCTGTTTTTACGGGTTAGTCTTCCACGGACGCTACTTCTAGTGGCGCCTCATGAATTTTGTGCGTCGATCTTATGCGTGACCTATTAATGTAGGCTTTACTGGCTCTTCATGTGATTCTAAGGCTGAAGGATTTGATTCACTCCTAACTAAGTTGGTTAGCTTGCTAGGGAAATGGGAAACTGGGTTTGGTTCTCTCTCAGGCGTACCCACATGGGCTTCAAAGGTTATAGGCTTGGATATTTGGGCCCCCAAGTAGCCCAAAGTCTTCCATAATCTTGACTCCACATAGGCCCAATAAACTTCTGTAACCATCCACACCACAATTCACTTGGCAATGCCATATCACCCTACTTGATCTTATTCTAGCGTGAATCGTAATTAGCTTGATAGAGCTTGGCATCATGTCATGATTTATACAAGTATCTGGCTTAATTACTGTAGCGTGGCATGGTTGTGGATGCATTCCTTTCTCGATTACGCACCTTTGCATGTATTTGGGCTTGGCATGAGGCTCGTATAGCAACTAGGCCTTGAGACATGATGGGGTTTGCATGTGACATTTTTAGGCCTCAAAACATACAAATTCTTAACCCCTTAATTTGTTTTATTAAGTTGGTTGTTCAACTAAGAGTGTGAGATGTATTAAGATTACTTTTAATTGAGAAACAAATATAAGATGTATTAAGTATATATATTCAACAATATGTGGAGTGTTTATTCTTGGCCATCGAACTGACTAAAATGAAAAATAAAATGAATAATGTCACTAGTTTACTTCAACCAAACTCAATGATTATCACTAAGTACCCAATCATATTGTACAACAACAACAACAACAACAAAGCCTTTTCCCACTAAGTGGGGTCGGCTATATGAATCCTAGAACGCCATTGCGCTCATTTGTGTCATGTCCTCCGTTAGATCCAAGTACTCAAGTCTTTTCTTAGGGTCTCTTCCAAAGTTTTCCTAGGTCTTCCTCTACTCCTTCGGCCCCGAACCTCTGTCCCGTAGTCACATTTTCGAACCGGAGCGTCAGTAGGCCTTCTTTGCACATGTCCAAACCACCGGAACCGATTTTCTCTCATATTTCCTTCAATTTTGGCTACTCCTACTTTACCTCGGATATCCTAATTCCCAATCTTATCCTTTCTCGTGTGCCCATACATCCCACGAAGCATCCTCATCTCCGCTACACCCATTTTGTGTACGTTGATGCTTCACCGCCCAACATTCTGTGCCATACAACATCGCTGGCCTTATTGCCGTCCTATAAAATTTTCCCTTGAGCTTCAGTGGCCTACGACGGTCACACAACACGCCGGATGCACTCTTACACTTCATCCATCCAGCTTGTATTCTATGGTTGAGATCTCCATCTAATTCTCCGTTCTCTTGCAAGATAGATCCTAGGTAGCGAAAACGGTCACTTTTTTGTGATCTTCGCTAGATTGCTCCGGTCATTAGTGTGGATAAGTATATAAATGGATAGAGATAGGAAAGCAAACACAAGATGTACGTGGTTCACCCAGATTGGCTACGTCCACGGAATAGAGGAGTTCTCATTAATTGTGAAGGGTTTACACAAGTACATAGGTTCAAGCTCTCCTTTAGTGAGTACAAGTGAATGATTTAGTACAAATGACATTAGGAAATATTGTGGGAGAATGATCTCGTAGCCACGAAACTTCTAAGTACCGGAGTGTGGTATCGTCTTGACTTGCCTTATCTGTCTCATAGGTAGATGTGGCATCTTCTCTGGAAGTACTCTTCCTCCATCCAGGGGTGGTATCTGTAACTGGTGGAGATGCACAAGGTAATGTATCAATTTCACTTGAAGCTTACTTGTAGTTTCATGCTTGGTCAAGCGAGATACAAACCATGTAGTAGGAGTCCCCCAAGTCGC